CTAGATATTACTTCTAATAAATACCAGATCAGACTATAGGGGAATGGAGGCTGGTAACAGCCATTATATCGCTTTCTTAACAGAGACTTTACAATCTATTGTGCTTTGTTTTAAAATGAACATAACAGAGATTGCAAGGATGAACTGGAGGAGAAAAAACAAGAGCTTCTCGACATGGACAAGGCACTAAAAGAAAGAAACTGGGATCTGAAGCAAAGAGCAGCTCAGGTTAGAATTGCACATTTATTTATTTTTTTAAGTTTAATACATGCTGTTTGTATTGTTAGGACATAATGTTTGTGATTCCACAACTGATGATAACTGTGTTCTAACATTTATTTTTGTCTTGCTTTTTGTCTTTCTCATTCTTATTTTTAAGGTTACAAAGTTGGATATGTCAATTCGGGAGCACAGAGGCGAACTGGAACAAAAGATCATTAAATTAGAGGCAAAGTTAGAAAAAGAAGAGTTGCAAATCAAGGAATGTTATAAACAGGTACCTGTTTGCAAGTTGTCAACTTCACATTTTAACAGAAATTAATCTCTCTAAAGTATATCTTATATTGTAAAAGTTGAGCTTCTAAAATAGATGCTTTCTTTGTAATTTCTCTTGCAACCTATACCTGTTTATTAGATTGAAAGTTTAGAGAGCAAACTAAAGCATGCAAAAGATGAGCTTCATGAGAAAGAGTTTAACATCCTTCAGCAAGATCAAGAAATCAACAGTCTTAAAAAAGAAATGGAAAGAAAACAACAAAGATTAAGAGATATGGAGAAAGTAAGTTTTTTCCTTGCGTATTTTTGTTTGACTTTGCAAATGGTCCAGATTATTTAAAAAAGCAATCTAACCATCTTTATATTTGCAAACAACAACAAAATAGGCCAGAATTCTATTGCCACTTTATTTTTGCACAAGGGAAATTGCATTAAGTCTTGATGGCAAATTGCTGCTCATCAACAAAATGCTGGTTGTATTTCTGGGCGTGATAGGATTCTGGTTGTCACATATTTAACTGCACAGTCTTGCTCACGTCAACTCAGAAGTAACTAACTGCAGCCCTATTTTTTTCATCTTGCAGTACTATTTCAAAACTTATCTTTATTGCTGGCTGTTTGTCATGCAGATATGCAGACAACAGATTCCAGAGGGGTTGCCATGTCAATGTTTTCTAGCAAAAGCAGTCGTCTGGTAGTACTTTGGAGATTAAACAAATGTATTCACACATCAACTTTCATGAATCAAAATTCACTTCATCAGATGCACAGGATGTTAGCTAAGTACAGTGGTG